TTGTACGAATTCACTAAATGCGGTTTAGGCATAAATGTAATTATAGTTCTTATTCAAATTAGCATTTTACAAATGTGTCCATTTCTGATAAGTTGGTGTTTAAATTTTCTATATTTGAAACTCACTTTTGTCTCTTATTTTTATGTAGAAATAATTATAATCTTTGGTTGATTTTGGCACGATCCTCATTGACTACTGTTTCGCGTCGATTTGTCGCTAACAATTAAAGAGGATCAGACGATTGTGTAAGGAACAAACCTCTTGGAACAAAGTCCCAAAAAGGGGTGTTTATCGAATATGAAGATTACAATTGGATATGAACAAGATGTCTCCAAGGGGCGCAAGCACACAAGTACGTGGAGATGAATTAAGTAAAGTTAATCTAAGAAAAGTAAATTACATATTCTCTGTTTGAGAGTGAATTTTGTCGGGGGGCTTCTTCGTTGTCTTCTTCTTTCTTTTATACTCCTTGGGCAGTTCTTAATCATTTGGAAACTGTTTGTAACTACCCATTTCTTTCATAATGGCTGACTGGCCAATAACTACCGTTTGTAACTCTTACCACCACGTTTTCTTCATAACTGCTTGTCACCAACTTTCTCANTGGGCTTCTTCTCTTGGGCCATTTCCTCTCTTGGGCCATTTGAATTGGGCTGTACATTTTTGTGTGTCAACAATTACCCCCCAATATGGCGGAATTAAAATTAATTTTCGCCATATTCACATTTGTATCTTCCAGCAACATTTGAAATTCTCAAGGATTTTCAATCATCACTTTCTTCTAATTGTCTGGAATGGTGTGACGTTACAACTTTTATAAGCCCAAGAATCGCGTCATTTCATTGCACCACTAAACCACGTCCTCATACTTCGCGTCTTTTCCCCACTATTTTACTATTCATCGTCTTGCTTCTCCTCTACGTTTCTCAAGCAAACTCAGATAAACTTGTATTTTGCTTTCAATGGCGACCTCTCAGACCCATTCGGAGAACCCTTTTGGTTTCGAGGACTTTCAAAACCTCCTTACCAGGTCGTACGTAAACCCTTCTTACCTTGCACCGGCTAATCCAGACCTGAATGAGTTTTATCTTGGGCTAATGTTCAATGATGCTGAATCTATAGAAAAAGTGGCGGTGGGCCAAGTGTGCCCTTGCACGGAAAACCTCCTCTTTCTGAACTCGTTGCCGTTGAAGCCTATCCAGGAGCGAGGTATTCGTACTTGGCATCAGGTTGATTCTTCTTTCCATTTCTGGCATGCACGTTTGGTAAAACATGGTCCCACAAAAACCCTTTTTGATCGTGCACGGATTTCGGATTTGTTAGAGATTACCCTCCACCCCCCAATTTATGATTCAGTACTTTTTCCAATCGCACTAAGTTTTTGGTCTTTAGAATATAATACTTTTGTTTTTCTTCTTAGTCCGATGTCTATTACTCTGAAGGACGTAGGGGCTTTAGTAAACCTCCCACCTCTGGGCGATACCATATTTCCTGGTATTTTGGTTACTGGTGCTGCTCCTAAATTTGATAAGAAAGTAACTGAATTTTATTCGAGCATGCAAAACCTTTATACTGCTTCTGTTTCTGAACCTAACCATGCTGAGCGTGTGGCTTTCCTTCATGTTTGGCTGTGTAAATATATCCTCTGCGTCCCCAATCTGAAACCTTTTATGAGCTATCTGCCTATATCACACGAATTAGCTCATGGTAGGCCTTTGAATTTATGTTCATTCTTTTTTACTGCCTTTTATAGAGGCATGGCCTCCCTTCAGTCTCAACTGAAAAACGATGCTTCTCCCACAGGAAGTGGGCCTCTTTGGCTCGCTCAATTGTGGTTGAGAGCATATTTTCCTCAACTTGGCGCAGCGCCATCTCCCCCTAGGTCAGTTAGTTGTTATGGGCTGCTCATTCATCAGTTAGACACTGTAAATATGTCTGCCAGAGATGTTTTTACATTCTTTTATACACT